TTCTTTTTCATTTTTTGACCACGCCTGGGTAACGCCCTACTTTTTCACTTTTTTTTTTTCCCTCTCTCCTGTCTCTTTTTAGAGACTACACTTCATTGTTCTCTCAAATTCTTTTTTTGCCTTACACTACCTACTGCAAGGAAAATGAGCATTAGCGACATGACAATAATCAGATTGCACAATCACATGGAAGGCCAGATAGTATCACAGTGTCCGGAAAGCAGGGATGCACCAATATAACACCAATGAAGATTCGTAACACTGAAAACCAATGTCAATGAGAGCTTGCTCTCGCCACCACCAACATGAGTGTCCAGGCCCTATCTCCCTACTTGGCGCTCGGCGTCCAGCCTGCTTCCTACACAGCTACTCTCTACCTACTTATTGACAATGCAACTGTTGACGTCAGCAGCCTCCGAAGTACTTGAAGATGTCGCCCATGCAGACCATCACCAATACCAGGTATGTGCCCTCACATCATCATCATCATCATCATCATCATCCTTCTCTCTCTCCCCTGTCTTACTTCCACATCTTCACTCTGTACACCCGAATACCACCCCTGCGCTTCACTGTAGTCCAAGCCCAACCAGCTATGGAGGGCGGGCTATGGCGCTGCCCTCAGCAGCGCCCTGCTCCCTGCACAGCCGCACTCACTAGCACCTCGCCTCTCAGCGCCAGCAGCAGCCCACGAGCGTCCGCTCCAGCAGTGTTGCCGCTAGCATGCGAGTGCCTGAATGAGGCTGCCGGTGGCGAGCTCTTTCCTATATGGAAAGAGCCTCCTGCCTTCGCAGCCTGGCTGGACTGGCGTGGGCCCAGAACCTTCCGGTAGGCCCCAGGATGCTGCGCTTGTGTTGCAGCTACTGGGCCTCTTTCGGTTGGGCCTCACAACTGTGAGTGTATGAGGCTGTGATTCTCGCCCAGGGCCTGCATTCTTGGAAAGGCCCAGAGGCTGTGGAATGTCTTTGTTGCTTGGCCTGTGTTTCCCTTAACCAACTGGCGCGTCGCAACTGTCTGGACCCCCAAATACGAATTTGACAGTCGAGGGCCTCTCGTGATTTGTTAGGCCCGCCTTCACTTAGGGCGGGCACGTATGCAACAGGGGGCCCTTAGGCCTGCGGAGGACCCAGATCCTCACACTATCTACCACTACTTCTAAGTAGAGGGGACCCCTGCAAGCATAGCTACCTCGCAATGTGAAGGGATTACCGCATGTTTGGCCCCCGCCCCAACAGCAGTAGTCAGAGATGGGGTGGGACCACCGGTGAGGGTCCGGCCAACGCAAAGACTGAGCATTTTGCCGGTAGGTGCGCCTCCTTTTTCATTGTCCCCCACCCCCAATCGAATAGCAGTATTGTCTAAGACCAACGCTCTCCCACACACCACACACAGCTCACTCACACTCGCACTCACACCCGTGCTGGCCAAAGGCCTTTCTGATACCGATAAGAGGTACGCAACCAATTTTTTTTTCCCTTTTTTTCACAAGGGTGTCAGAAAATAAAACACAAGGGGCCCCAGGCTCGGCAAAACTCGGTGCACTGTGAAAATCAGGGTCGGCAAAAACATGCTCGGTGGAATTGGTGGTTTAAGCGTGCTTTATTGCCTGCAATAGAGGTAAAGTTATTGTGATTTTGGATCTACTCATCTGGATGGAACAGGGGATGTTGTAGTGAAAATTCATAGCACACACACACACACACACACACACACACACACACANTTTTGGATCTACTCATCTGGATGGAACAGGGGATGTTGTAGTGAAAATTCATAGCACACACACACACACACACACACACACACACACACACACACACACACACACACACACACACACACACACACACACACACACACAAAATGGCGGGTGCACACAGCAGGACATATTAACTCGTTCTATCACCAAGCAGTAGAACATCATCGACATGCTGTTTCTAATGGACTATAGTAGTATAGTCTCCGGAGAGCAATCTGGCTGAACCTCCTTCTTCCCCTCTGTATGGTCAGGCAGTGTCCCCTCTGTATGTGGATAGGAGGGATTCTACCACGATTAGTGAAGGGACCTCTCCAGGGGATGGTGGCTGTGCCCTCCCATTGTGTCGTTACACAGCGACAGTTCGGTTGGCATGTATGGGTATAGCCTCTGTTCTGAACACTATGAAGGGATGGTCGCTGCCACCCTCTGCCACAAAAACTGTGATACTTTGTCTTGTGCTCATCACCCCCACGCCCTGATTACTTGCCCAGCATGCCGTTGTGGCCTTGATCTGCCATGCTAAAATAGCTGCGCACGTAAGCCTTCGTTACTGCTGACATGTTAGCAACATGCCATGTGTCGTCAATGTTTCCAGGAAGCTGTCATAGACAGTATCCCTCTCTCCTGCTCGGACTATCTCCTGTGCCATCATCCACCCCATCCTCTCCTAGTGTGTCCCGGATGCGGTGTTGGGCATACACCTACTGCAACCACGTGCCTCTGTTTTCCTAGCATGTAGGAGCCATGTAGCCTGTGACATCTGTCTACGCCGTGCGATTCGATGCAGCAACTGTGACTGCGAGAATTGGATGTGGTGCTTCCACAGTCCGCACCCCAACCAGTCCTGTCCGGCCTGTAGAGGTGGCTGGTTAGTAGTTACCATATATAACTACTGCTCCTCAAGTCAGAATCTTATGCAACCCAAACACTGACTGGCCTTATGTGACATTCTAGAGTTGTCTGCTCCACCGGTGACTATTTAGAACCCTATCAGAATTCCACCTACCATTTTTTTCCTCCCTCCTCTTGTGTACTTCTAGTAAATGCATACGCGTGAGCATCATTAAGAGAACAGGCAAAATATAGGCTGAAGATCTGAGGAAATCTGAGGAAAAATGAACAGGAATATACCTCCCCCTTTACTCTGCCTCCTTTCATAGTGTGCAAGTGGGCCGTTGTGGCACATGGGGATGTGGGCAGCTCGCGCTGAACCACAATCAACGTGGCGAGCCTTGTTCATGAGAGGCACAGTAAAAGGGGAGCTGCAAGAACAATGAAAGGGGTACCCCAAAGAAAGCAAAAGTGAACACAATTAAGAAAGGGATTTAGAATCTTTTAGATGCTTCTATTATACACCATGCTGCTTGCTATAGAGGTGAAACTGTTTTTTTTTCCTTTTCTTTTTTTTCCTCTCTTTTTTTTTTTTTTTTTTTTTTCAAATAAAAGGTCCATGTCGTAGTAGAGGGTGGATGCTAGGCCTTGGGAGGTGCCTGTCGTCGTACTCAACCAGTGAGGATCAGATGGCTTGTGCCAACCCAAGGGACAGTCTTTCTCCAGGGGCATCACTCGTGACCTGTTATATCCTAAATCTTATCGCAAGTGGAGCCCTGTAGCGGTGCGACCCAGACCTCTCTATCTGGACCTAGACCTACACCAACCCGCGCCTTCGGAGGAGCACAGACACGTCTCTCCGGGCGCTAGCATAGGGACACCCTGAATCCTCGAGGACAACCCGGATACAGGCTATGTGAACCTGTATCACATCATGCAGACTCTATGGGTAGCGAAGCCACCTTTCTACATTCAATGCGACAACCCTCCCTCCCCTGCCTAAGATGACACCCTTACCTAGAAACCCTTCCCCAGACTCACGCCCCAACCGAACCCTCAGTGGGAACTCAGACAGGTACCAACCCGGATGAAGCCCAGCCCACAAGCATCGTGAGATCAACCTGAAGCCCGCCCGTGGGAATCGTATATGCCTAACACCCAACCCCCAAAGCCCACTACCAGCATGCTGCAACCATGGACCTGACCCCTTGGGTGGTGCGAAGGCAATGTCCGTTTAAGTACCGTGCATCATCCCAAGGGGGGTGTGCGAATGGCTGGGCGCTATGAAAGCGCCTTCCGGCGTACGTGCACGAGGCAGCGGAGTTTTGGACCTGCAACCTCATACCACAATGCGCATTTTCAACCAGTGCTCTAACCACTGAGCCACCAGGCCATTCGCGATTTCAACCGGTGCTTCATTGTTGGATTGTCCCGACTCAAGGGCCTTCATTGTCTGCAATAGGATTAAAGCTGCTTCGATTTTGGATCTACTCATCTGGGTGGCGAAAATTAAAAAAAAAACACAGACACACACACGCAACCATGCTACCTATGACTCTTTTTTTTCCTCTCCCCCGAAGTGTTTTCTTTATGTTGTCCAATTTTTCTGTGCTAATCTTCCTGTGCTCTCCTTAGTGCGCAGCACTCTTAAGATGTGCCTATAGTCATTGCCTGTCTGTAAGAAGTGCCTGCAATGCTTTCAGGGGTGCTGTCGTGTATCTTCCCTGTTGGGGACAGATTTTCATGAAAGCGAGTCCCCGACTCTTGATGGTGGCAGATGGTGGCGTGAACCTACAGTCTGTGAAGTTTCTACTTCTGGTGTGTGTAACTGATACCCCATTTCGGTCCGTGCTGTGTGTGCGGACTGCGGTGCCCGATGATTTGACTTCCTTCCCCCTTGCCTTCCATTGCCTTGTGGTTCTGCTGCTTGGCCTTGCTGTGTTCCACCCAATCTTCCCACCACCCGCCTGCCAACCTTTGGATTCTGCTGCCTGCTTTGCCTTGCTGCTTGTTTTTTAAAGTCAACCCGCTTTGTGGCAAAATAAAACAGAAAACAGAAAAGGAAAAGGAAAAGGAAAAAAAAGTGTAATCCTTTAAGTGAACCGGCCTTTTGACGGGGAACAAAAAAAAAGAAAAAAAAAAAATCAGTCTAAGCCTGATTGTAAAAGGGAACCTACCCTGTGGGCAGAAAAAAAAGGAAAAAAGATCAGTATAAGGCACTGTAAGCCTGCAAAAGTGAACCTGCCATGTGGCTCAATGCCACACACATGTTTTTGTTGATCCACAGATTGGGAGTACAAACTTCACGAACTTCACAATTGAATCCTGACTTACGCACCGATGTCAGGAGCTACTCCCATTTTTCTTTCCAAAAAGATGGAAGCCTGCAAGGGACTCCGGAAACAAAAGAGGGAGATAAGACCACCCGTTGCCTTCGACCAAGTTTGACGATGTCGTTTGTTTCCTACATGTTTGTTTTCTGAGAAACATTTCCATAAATAGTAAATACAACTAACTGAACTGTCTTCTTTTCTCTCTTTTACATGGAACTGGCATGGTGTTGCAGTCACACATCTTCAACAGCATTGTTATGTCAACAATTGTGGCCAACACTATAATTATAGCACTTGAAAGCTCAAGATCGTTTTCTATCAAGCATCTTACAGAATTCAAGGTCAGTCTGCAGTGCACATAGCGATCTTGGGAAGTACGGAGCATGACTATTACTACTATTACTACTACTGCTGCTACTGCTGCTACTGCTACTACTGCTACTGCTGCTACTGCTACTACTACGGCTACTACTGCTGCTGCTACTACAAGTACTACTACTGCTACTACCATCACCGGAATAGAACGCCCGGTCGTTCTAGCTGTATTTGGCACAACTTTCTGTCCAGATGCAGTGATAATGATCGGGCGAACACCGTAGTACTACTACTGGTACTACTACTACTACTGCTACTACTGCTACTACTGCTACTACTGCTACTGCTGCTGCTACAACTACTGCTACTGCTGCTGCTACTACTACGACTACGACTGCTACTGCCGCTGCTACTACTACCGTCTTCACCCGAATAGAATGCCCGATCGTTATAGCTGTATTTGGCACAATTTTCTGTCCAGCTGCAGCCATAATGACCGGGCGTTCTAGTCGGGTGAAGGCCGTAGTACTACTACTGGTACTACTGCCACTACTATTGATGCTGCTACTACTGCTGCTGCAGCTGCTGCTACTACTACTGCTAGTGCTGCTCCTACTGCTGCTGCCCCTCCTATCTCGGCTACTGTGATAGTGGTGCATCCAGCTTTTGTGCCTGCTCTTGCACAATAGTTTGCTCACATTTTGGCATGCATTTTGGTCATCATTTCTGTGGCCATGGAATGTTATGGTACCGACTCCCGACTCTATGACCTTTCACTCCCAGGAATCTGAGTGGCTGTGATGTGATGGGAGAAGCCACTCCATTCCTTCTGGTGTAGCTGCTGGTGTTTGAATTGCCTTTGCCGGATCTGCGAGCCACGACCTCACCGTCTGGGCTCAATTTATTCTCATCTGCAAAGCTATCCGAAACACCTGTCAGTCCTTCAAATGAGGAGTCGAAGGGCCTTATGAGTTTTGCCGAGTCATCCGCCAAGAGAATGGAAATCAGAATGTAATTCTGTCCCCTTTGCTGGTATGCTGCTGCCACCCGTCTTTCAATCGAAGGGTCCTTTCTTGGAAAGGAGGCTATTGGTTCCATTATGAACAAGAAGAAGATGGGGGCTGCTAGTGGATTGCCCTGTCTGAATGATCTGAACATCTTGTAGCTGCTGGTGTTTGAATTGCCTCTGCGGAATCTGTTAGCCGCGACCTCACTGTCTTGGCCCAATTTATTCTCATCTGCAAAGCTATCCGAAATGCCTGCATAGCTCTTGTCAGTTCTTCAAATGAGGAGTCGAAAGTATTGCCAAGTCATCCGCCAAGAGAATGGAAATCAGAATGTAAATCTCTCCCCTTTGCTGGTATGCTGCTGTCACCCGTCTTTCAATCGAAGGGTCCTTTCTTGGAAAGGAGGCTATTGCTTCCATTATGAACAAGAAGAAGATGGGGCTGCTAATGGATTGCCCTGTCTGAATGATCTGAACATCTTGTATTTTTCTGGCAGATGGCCATTGACTTGGTGTGGCATACTGCGTAGCCACACGGGCCCTGCAGGGCCCGTCCCGGACATTCAGCCTAAAAGCCTAAAACTTAGGGCTTACAGGCCCCGTTCGTTTCAGCCTGAAAGCTGAAAAACGAGGGCCTGCAGGCCCTACCCCGTTTCAGCCTATTTCTGGGTCTTTTCAGACCCAGAGTTTTCAGCCTGAAATGGAGGGCCATTTTCAGGCCCTCATTGTTTCGACCTGCCCCTAAGACTCAGGCACGTAA